TTTTTTTTTTTTTTTTTTTTTTATTTATTGTGTGTGTGTGTGCGTGTGTGTGTGTGTGGAGAGCAGTAAAGCATTCTTTACTGTTTCACTAATAAAAAAGGGGAGCAGTAAAGCATTGTGTAGTAGGATTAAATTCTTAGTACCTAGGTAATGTGTTGACCCCTAACCTCACTCCATAATAACAAGCAATTATTGTGTAATTCTATTGACTGCTACAATATCTATGATAATCATGTTTGTTGATTAATATGTGGATACTACTATAAGACATAATGAATTGAGATCATAAATAGAACAGAAGATCTGTTATCGCTATTTCAGTCTAATATAAGAGAAGTAACACAATGTAAAGACTAGATATATTCCAATTGTTTATTCGTGTTAGGCAAGTCTACCCACTCTATAATACGACAGGTTAAATACACGGGTTTTTTTTTTTGTGGGGCAATTTGTAGTTCTTAACCTTGTTTGAACTAAGCTTGAAATTGCAATGGAACACTGGACATACTCACATGGAATTCTTTTGTAGCTATCAGCATTTATTGACACTTTAGTTACATTCAGTGGATGTTCAGATAATGATGTTTCAGGTTCATGCTTCATATTAGTTTGATCGATAGTTTTCTATTTTTACTTCTCCTAATAAATGGCATGGTAAATGAATGATTGATATTCCCAAAACCAAGTCTTACAAATGCAATGTGAAAAGATGGAATCATTACTAGGGACTAGAGCAAGAGAGCATGTGTATCACATGTCTGTTCCTACTTCCATAATAAATGGGGAATGTGTGGGTGTGTGTTTGTTTTACCAAAAGCTGTAATATTTATTTATCATTTATACATTCATGCCCCGTTTCTTTTTATTCAACCTTGTTATTATGATCCATCGTAGTGCTTTTTCAGTGGGCATGCTATTCAAATGCTGATAAATGTGTATTTGACTTGTAGATTACTTTGAAATTCCAGGTTATTGCTGATTTTGATGCTACACTAACAAAGTATTGGATTAATGGTCAACGAGGGCATAGTATGTAATCCTTTCTTATCTGTATACTTTTGTAATTTCAATACAGCTACGCACAACGAAGGTTTTTTAAGCGCTATATTATTGTATGTAATAATTTGTTGTTAAAATAAATATGTAGGTAGTCATGGCCTTCTACAACAGGGGAATCCTGAGTATGATCTCAAGAGGCAGAATTTATATGATTATTATCATCCATTAGAGATTGACCCAACCATCCCACTTGATGAGAAAGCAAAACTCATGGAAGAGTGGTATGTGACATGGTCAATCCTGCAGAACAGCTAGAATCACTTGTAACAAGCCTACACTCAATTATCACTTTAGTCATTCAACATTTCTTGCTGCAAATATTTCCTCTTAGATTATTGGGCATGTCTGTTGAGGTGGTTGAAGTGTTTGACTCTGTGTAGGTGGGAGAAAACTCATGCTCTTCTTATTGAGGGAGGACTTACCTATGCTGCCATAAAGAGCTCAGTAGCTAAATCGAGGATCGCATTCAGAGAGGGTGTCACTGAACTTTTTGAACTGTTGGAGGTAAATTGCACTATTGTTGCCTATATTTTGCCCTATCTAAAATGACGCTAAAGCGGCTGGGCAGTTGAAAAGTTAAGTGGGTTGACATAGTAGTATATTGAATATTTTATGATGTTTGAGAGAGTAGCTTGTCTTAGTAAAAATTCCAGAAAGCGTGCAGAATATTTGCTTTCTTATTATTCAGAGCAGTTATATTTGAAATAGTTTACAATTATTTTTCATGGTTGATGTTGTTGTAGAGGAGTAATGTTCCTGTCCTTATATTTTCTGCTGGCCTAGCGGATATTATTGAAGAGGTTAGCATTCAAATATAACTTAGTCGTCGTATCTGATATGATGGCACACAGAAGATTTTTGTACACAGGGTAACATCATTTACCGTCTTTTTCAGGTGTTGAGGCAGAAGCTTCATAGATCCTTTAAGAATGTCAGAATTGTATCCAACAGAATGGTCTTCGATGAGGATGGTAACCTTGTATCTTTTAAAGGTATGGCCATTCTTTTTGAAGGACTATCCCTTCGTACATTGTGATGCATAATCATTGAACTTCACATGTTCCTTGTATATCACCATCTTTTTAGTGTGAAACATGTATGGGAGATCTCCAAGTGGTCGTGAGATCCTATGAATTTGCTGAAATGGGAAAATTAGAGTCTCAACTTTTCATTCACCAGTGTAATTCCATATACTTCAAGGGGACCTGTCAAGTAGATTTTTATTGGAAATTGTAACAGGGATTGACCCTGGTGTTTGATTGTTTTCTAAAGTTACCTATTTTAGCAAAGCTTTCTTTACAACCCAAAATTATGATTCAGCATGTTTTGAATTTTTATTTTGTGCATTGAGAACAATGAAAAGATTGTCATCCAAGATATTGTGCTCTGTTACAGGCAAAACCATTCATGTATTGAATAAGAATGAGCATGCGATAGACATGGCTGGACCTGTTCATGATCAGCTAGGTGATGCCAATGGGCTAACAACTGATTTCTCCGTGAAATCGAGAACGAATGTTTTGCTGCTTGGTGATCACATTGGAGATCTGGGAATGTCTGATGGTTTAAACTACAATACAAGGATATCAGTAGGATTCTTGTAAGTGTTAAATACTCAGACAACAATCATGAAGTATGCTTCATCCACAGCTATACATTTTGTCATGTATGCGAGTGGCATTATTATAAACCTGTTTTCATCATTATCATCGTAAAAGTGCTAGAATGCTATAAATTTTGAATGAACACGGGAAATATTTGATTAGGCTTGAAACTATAAGTTACTAAACCTCTTATGATTAAATTTTGATGTTGAACTTAGCAATTGAATATCAATCAATTTGTTTTCGCGGATTTTTGTCTTTTTGGGTAAAGTTTTCCAGCATTGTCGAGAAGTAAAACGAGGTAATAAATGCTAAGCATTACTAAAATGGAAGATTTGTTTCGTTTCAGTTGATGTCTGGTCTTAGCTAGGTTTGGTTTATTTATTTAATAAGTAACGGTTCTTTAGTTTTGAACTCTTTCATTTCCCGTTCTCAGATTTTGCACTCCGACTTGTCTGATTAATTATCCTGTTATTAGATATTGGAAAAACTACTAACCTGATCCAATTATGTTGCTAGAAGTTCTGAAGCTTTTTTGGATGCAAGTATTATACTCACCTTACTTTTGATTTTGGATGCAACTCTTTTTCTTGAATAATTTTGTTTTCATGTGTTCTAAGCATGGTAATTGGAAAAATTATGACCGTCTGGTGCCTTCTGGACACTACAATGATACTCAGATGTTAATGTTATTTATTGATATGGGTGAAACATTAACGTGTTGATTTTACATTTTCATGTTGGGCTAATTGCCCTTTGTTGTAAACAAAAGGCGGAAAATTAAGCTCCAATATTCTCCCGGTAAAGATTTTGTAGTGCACAGCGCACTCTGAAAATGCATTGCGTATATCTTAATTGTGTCATTGCTGAATGAGTTTTTTTTTTTCCAAAATATCAATTCGTGTTCCTTAATTGTCGAGACACTTTGCTGAAGTTAGTTTTTCTTCTGAACCAGTGGATGATTTTTGTCTTCTAGAAGTTACTTCTAATCATAGATGATCTACTTTTTCTACATGGTAGTCAAAAGTATCTTCTTATATTTGTTAGTTTTATGATTTTATCCGTGGTTGATAAATGAGTTCCCGGCACTGAATGAACCTTTGTACGATTTTTAGTTCTCTCCTCCTTGTTAAATACTTATTGCAGGAATGACAACATTGAGAGTTCCCGTGATAGCTATCGCAATGCCTTTGACGTTGTATATCTGGTAAGAACAGAAACTTTGGGGAGTTTAAACGTATTCTGTTCTGTCTGAGGGTAATAAGAAGGTTTAGTTTGTCCCACCATTTGTGGTCTTAGTTTAGATTTTTGCCTTAAGATTTTCTTGGCATATAAATTATTTGCAAATAGCATCATTGGTGGTGCACTCCTGTAAGCACCATGAGTGAACTCGTTCAGAGCCCTTGTGGCATTCCTTGTTCTATCATTAATCATTTTGCCTTGTTTATCAATTTTCTATGTGCCAATAGATGAAATAATAAGCAAATTTCTTATTTTCAAGAAAGATTGAACGGTTTGCAGTTGAGTTATGTGCTTTTCTTTTTTCTTTTTAAATCACCAACCAAAGTTTTTCCTTTTGCAATACAAATGACATTGCGGAGCCCTGTCTCCAGAGAATTCCTTGTTGAGATTCTGTCGATGGCCATGCAGAAGAGTTATGTGGTGATACTTTTTTGGTGAATTGATCACTTCTTTCCCGCCTAGTCTTATTCACACTAAGTGAACAGAATGAGAGATAAGTCCTAGTATTTTCTGTTATTGTTCTGCTATCCCTGACTAGTTCTATTGATAGAAATCCCCACACTTTGGCAACTTGATTTCATAGCTGGCTAGCTGCAAAAATGATGACATTGTTTTTTAAATCCTCCAAGTGGATGATGAGAGATTCACTCCTGTTATTTTTTATTTCCTTTTTGTTCTTTATAATAGTTTTATTTTTACTTTAATAACTCTTTGTTGGAAACATTATTTTTGTTTGAATTTCAAAGAAGTTGAAGCAAAAAGAAGATTTCACTTGCATAATGTCATAATTAACGGTAAGATGCAACATTTCTGTGTATCTCTGCAGAATGATGCTCCCATGTGGGGAGTAGTTAAGCTTGCATCTCAGCTTTGTTCAACTGTGGCTGATTAAGAGGTAACAACCAATCCTTTATTTCCAAGTCATTCTACCCACCCAATGCTACCAATTTGGTTCAGTGAGTTCTTTGTTCGTTATATTCTTTGTTATATATGATATGTTTTTGCAGGAATTCACTGTTTCCTGCAAGTGCTTACTGATTTTTCTTGTTGATCTTGATACAGGTGATGGGTCAAACCTTCAATTATCAAGTATTGCATTGAGCATTTATTTTCCTTTATGTAGTGGGTACCCTTATTATCAACTTGCAATATCTATTGAAGTGCACTATTTTTCAATTGAAATTTCTTTGATTGTATTGTGCTTATAGCCATCAATGACATCCACTCATAAACAATTGACAGCCTGAGCACCTCCATAGTTTCACCATTGGAGGTTTCAAGGATACATAGAGGAAGTGATTATGGGTATTGTATTCGTTTTCAACAAAATTGATTATGAGTAAACACTGTAGCTTAGATCATCAGTTGGCATGCCTCACCTCTTCTGAATATTGGAACATCCAAAAAGGTTTCATTTATCATGCTCTAATTTTGCTGAATTGGTACCCATTGATCTTGAGAAATCACAAGAAAAATGTTTTGGTATCATGTCTATACATTAGCGTGATGTAATTCATGATAATGTAGAAACCTCCATTTTCACCCAAAAAATAAAGAAAACATAAGTTTCTTAGTAGAAGAGCCCAAAACACAACAATAAAGAAAACACAAGTTTCGGTTCGTCGGAATTTTCAAGTATTGCATACATGAATTTCATTCATGTGAGGTATTTTTGTACCAATTTTTATGGTTTTATTTTTTGTAAGTGTTTCATTTTTCGCAAGTGAAATACTTAAAATATTCTCAAAATCATTTTATGGTGAATGAAAAATTAATTCTAATTAGTTGTATATGTGGAAAATGTATGGTTGAAGCAATTGAGTTTAAGTAACTCAAATTATTGGATTTGTTTGGGGTGTTGTTATTCACCGCCCCCCATTTTACTAGTCACCGCCCCTCTTGGACAATTTTGCCCTTCTCATTTTTTCTAAACATCTCAGAGGAAAGTGTACGGTGAAATGTCGTCAAATTCCGAGGTACGAAAAAATACGTGTCCGGCCGCCGGTTCCGGACAGCTTATAGCCCGTCCGGAACCGGCGTCCGGACGGCTTAAAGACCGTCCGGAACCGGCGGCCGGACGGCTTAAAGACCGTCCGGAAAGCATGGCCGGTCGGACCGGCCCTGTCCGAACCGGCCGGTCGGAACCGGCTCCGTCCGGTTCGGCCGGCCGGTTTTTTTTTTTTTTAAATTATTATGTTATTTATTCGAAATAATTATGTTATAAATTGGACTATATTATTATGTTATAAATTATTATGTTACATTTTAGACTTGATTATGATATAAATTGGACGTTTATCGTGTTAGGAGTTACAAATTATTATGTTACATGTTGATTATAATATAAATTGGACGTTTAGATATTATCGTGTTACGAGTTACAAATTATATTAATTGAACGTTAGATAATATCATGTTACGAGTTACAAATTATTATGTTACATCGTACAATTAATTACCTTAATTTAACATGTTCTAAAAATAAAAATATTGTACTATATAGCAGGAGTCATGGGAAGATTTTGGAGGAAATGGTGTTGATTACAGTCTGCGTTTCGATACATCTTCATTCTATAATAGTGCTCAGGAGGCTATTGAAGCTGCAAAACACCAGGCAATGCTGAATGGTTTTCTATTAATTATTTCGAGCCACAAAAAGAAAACGGTCAGACTTTTGAAGTGCCATAGAGGCGAACGGTACAGAGGCACAGGCGGAAATTCTAGAAGGACAAAAACGAATAAGTGCGGTTGCAATTTTGAGATCAAAGTAAAAAAGTTGTCCGGCGTTCCATACTGGAGGATCTGCAGATGTAGCAATGAAGAGAAAAGCTACCATAACCATGCATTTGCTGTGTATCCTGAGGGTCATAGCCAGTTGAGCGGTCTCAGCGCTTCATCTAAGAGAATTGTTCGTGAAATGACGGACGCTCAGGTGGCCCCGAAAAAAATTATGGCCGCGCTGAAGGAAAAGAATCCGGGAGACAACGTTCATGTGCGGCAGGTATATATATTTATATCTTGTAATATATGTTTTAATTAAATTTTTTAAGTTAATTATGATAATTAGTAATTTTTTATATGTAAAAGTTATTGTAATAATTAATAAATTTTATTATATTTAGTAATGTATTACTATTGTGATAGTTAATAATTTTTTTATCAAATTAATCGCATTAATATACTTTTTTATTTATTAATATAATAAAATTTTTGTTTTAAATTACAATAATCATTATAATTAACGCTAATCGGTGACAGGTATATAACTATAGAGATAAGCTGCGGAGAGAGGATTCCGACGGTAGAGACGTTCCTACTCAGCTTATGCATTTGGCCGTGAGCAGCCAGTATACAGTTTATGTAGAATCCGATCCGAACACGAAAGTGCTGACGCATATATTCATGGCCCATCCTGCGTCGATCAATCTATTCCGGACATATCACTGGTATGTCGGTATAGATTCCACGTATAAAACCAACAGGTATGTTACTTTATAAATACTTTATTAGTATGAATCTTAAATAGTGTGTTTGATTAAGTTAAGTTTTATGTGCTTATATTTTTTTTTTTCTTGGTTACATTTGCACAGGTACAAGATGCCGTTCGTCGAGATGATTGGGATGACGCCGTGCAACCAGAACTTCCTGATTGCGTATGCCCTCATCAGGGACGAGAAAGAGACCAGTTACGACTGGGTTCTAGAGAAGTTGAGACTCCTGATAGGCCAAAGCGTATATCCTTATGTTGTTGTCAGTGACAGAGAGTTGGGTCTACTCACTCCTATTCAGAGGCATTTTCCTGAATCAGCCCACTTACTCTGCACGTGGCACATCAACAAGGATGTGGAAGCCAGAACCTACCACCTATTTGGGAAGAATAAAAAATTCTCGGAGATTTTCACGCACAGTACGTGGAAGGCGATTGCAGAGGCCAGTACGTTCGATGCCTACAACGATGCCGTTGCCGAGCTGCGCGCAAAATATTCGAACAATGCAGAGGTGATACGGTATGTGGAGGGCACATGGTTAGTGCACCGCGAGAAGTTTGTGAAGGCTTGGACCAACCGAGTGACACATTTTGGAAACACAACTTCCTGTAGGGTGGAGAGTGCCCACTCTGCGTTGAAGGAGTGGCTTCAGACGTCCACCGGCGCGCTCGATACGGTTTGGCAGAAGATTAATAAGCATATCGATAATCAAGTGACTGAAATCAAGTACGTACTGCAATTTTTAAATGCGTTATTATATTACTGCATTAATTAATTATAATCTAACGTTATGTAACGTATTATCAGGACGGCGCTTGAGGCCTCGAGATCTAAGAAGAATACACGGTACAAGGGAATCCTTTTCGGGAGCGTGATACTGAGGGTCTCGCATTACTGTCTGAGTTTATTGGACGCTGAGCTTACGAGGATGCACAAGTTGGACACCGATGTTTACACTAGCTGCGGTTGTGTACTGCAGCTCACTCATGGACTTCCTTGTGCCTGTCTCCTCCGTAACGCAGAAGATTTCGACGCTCCGAATGATCTCGGAATGATTCACCAGTTCTGGAGAACGCTCGAGATATTAGAGCCAGGTAATTTAAGATTAATGTTTTATTTATAATTTTCTATTAAAATACATTATTTGTTTTAATTCATTGACTTTTTTATCGTATACTTGTAGGGACTGGTCATCCGAGCCAGGCGAGCAACGCTGCATGGTCAGATGCGACGTTCTTTCATACGCTTGTGACTGAGGTTGAAACCCGCGACCCCGCGACGATGCGGTACGTGAATAAGTTCATGTACAATCATCTTTACCCAGACCAACAGGATTATGCGGAACCTGAGGTTAAGGATAACCCGCGAGGTCGTCCCAAGAAAACTAATTCAACTAAGCGTAAACCATCTGGTTTTGAGTACAACGAAAAATCGCGAGGTCGGAAATCGAGCCGTACGACCAATTCTTCGCGTGGACAGACAAGTTCGTCTTCTCAACAGTCACAAGGGGATGAAGGTCATACTTTTTTTTTTAAATACGGCTGAGCGTTAATTAAAGTATTTATATGATTATATAAATTGTGACGTGAAATTATTATGATGTTTATTGCAGAGTTTAGACCGACAAATATTTTTGGATTTCCATATTGGCAATGTATCCCCTAGCATATGTTGGACTACATAGTGAGTTACCTGAATGTGGAAGCGGATGGTAACTGCGGATTTCGGGTCATCGCGAGTCACATGTATGGTCATCAGAAGTACTGGCCAGATGCAAGAGATAACATTGCGAAGGAGGTCGAGAACCACCCTGAATTGTACGAGTACATCTATTTTAGAGATATCGAGGCCGGACTCCATCGCATAAGGTGGGCCAGCGGCTCTTGTGGACCGACTCACTGGTTCGAAGTTCCGCAGGACCTCTATGCCATTGCGATCCTATTTAATGTGGTTGTCGTTCATTTGAGCTCTGGTTCAAACGGTGGGCAGCACAACTTATTCAGCACCACAGTGTTGCCTCTCACTGCACGATCATCGGCTAGAGGACCATGTCGTGAGATTGCCATTTGCCATCTTGGTCGCGTAGAACACTACATTCGTTTAAATTTGACTGTTGATTGTCCATTACCGCCTATTCATAGCATGTGGTTCCGTTACCGAGATCAATCGGTTGTGGGTTGGGAGGATCAGTACCAGTCTAGGTTGCAATTGTGGTATACTGTTCAAACAAATCGTTCTTGAATAAAAGAACGATATTATTCAGTTATGGTATGACGCTTCTCATTCAACTTAAGTTTAGCAAATTAAAAAAAAAAAAACATTCAACTTAATGTTTTACAATAATAATTAAAAAAAAAAAACATTCATTACATTATTATTGGGCATTGTCGTAATCGAACTTAAACTTAGCCAGCTGTTCTTCGACTTCCGCCGCCTCCGGACATTCAACAAGAAACTGCTGCATGTTCGATGTAATACCCAAAAGGCGGTCCACCCACTAAAAAAATAGAGGAATAAAAACATAAGACTAAAATTTATTAAATAAATAAAATTTGTAATGAGTTAACATTAATTAAAATTTAGTAACCAACTTACATAGGGGGTATTGACACGCGTTGGGACCTCGTCCTCGTCCGGCAGCTCCTCGCCCATGAGAGTCGGATGGGAAACCCGACTATACCACTGCAGGTAATCCTCAGTCGCCTCCCCGCGATCCTGTGTGGTGGGGGTCAACATACCGGTGTTGACCGTCCCAGAAATCGGGAACTGGGTCCAGGCACCTACTGCAGCAGCCTCAGAATGCTCAACCTTGTAGTTCCTAGACTCCCAAGCACGTACTGTACTGATTGGCGGGTATGTAGGGGGAGGGACAGTCTGGACATACCCCAACTGACGCAGACACCGCGCAGGCAAGTACGGCTCGACGACATCGCGGTATCGAATCAATCCGCTATATAGAGTCCTCGGCTCTATCGCATCTGGGCTGGAGCTGCCGTATGGCAACCATTACACCTGTTCACAATTGCATAAGAGAATTTATAAAAATAATTATGTTATTTTAAATAACGGGTAACTAAATTTAAATAAAATAAATTCACGTACATCGGAGGCAGTGAGTCTGTCGAGGCGCCGACGGATGGCTGTGAGCCGATCGTCTGACCGTGGCGCATTCTCTACGCCCCACGAGCGTGATCGTGCGAGACAGTCAGGACCGATGGGTAGACGCCCTCGGGGTCGGAAATCGGGGAAATACTCATATATCCAAGACTGTAGAAGAGTCAAGCACCCCGACATCTGGGCAGAGACCCCTCGGCTGGCAATACCTAGCTGTCTGTACAAGTATGCCAGCGTAGCCGATCCCCATGAGTAACCCTCAATCAAATCCAAGCTGTCGAGCACCTCGTGCAGGAGCTTGGGGGTCACTCTACTACCACTCTTGTCGACGAACAATGTGGTAGCCAGCATCACCCACAGCCAGGCACCCGCCTCATCCCTAGCCGGCCGGTCTTTCCCCCTGAATGCCCCCGAAATGGCGGCTTCGGACACCGAACCACGCTGCCAGAACGAACTCATGAGTTCGCCCTTGGTGACCGAAAGTATCGACATGCAGAGCCCATGGCAGGCGTCCGAATCCGGGTCCTCAGCGACCACGACCCCCTCCACTGGAACGCCCAAAATGGCCCGGACGTCGTGCAGCATGATGCTCATCTCATCAAAAGGCATGTGAAACGAGTTAGTATCCGGCTGCCATCGCTCCACAAAAGCAGAAAGGAGTGGGGTGTCCAACTGGGTGTGCATGGAGTCGACCAAATGTGACAGCCCAGTCTGGTCGAGAAGAGCTCTAGCATCGGAAGACATCTCCTCACGCCAAGCCTTCAGATTATCGATCGCTCGCACTCTGTTGTGGCATTTCAGTAGCCCCCTCAAATTCCCATTCCACATGCGAGAGGCGACGTGCCCAAGAAAGCTAGGGATGACACTCCCATCAATGGGCCCACCGGGCACTGGGCCTCTAACGATCCAAGGTGCATCATCATCGGTCCTAGCTCGTTTGCTAGTACCTGCATTAAAATACAACATATCTGTGTATATTGACTTGCTGGCAGATGCATTAAATAAAATATATTTAATAAAACATATTTTATTAGTTACGTTACATTTTACATTTTACGTTTTACGTTATTATTATAAGCATATATAATTTTTAATTATTAATATTATTTTTTGAATTTATAATTAATTACAATTTATTCAACTTACCCTAAATTACAAAATAATTATACTGTAGTTGACGAGCAGGCCGATAATACTTTTCTAACAGTACCGATAATTTATGTTAAACAACAATAAATAAGTAAATTATTTACCTGATGAGGATGCAGAAGGGCCAAAACGCCCCCCAGCCTGCCGTTGAGGAGTAGGCTGTGTGGGACGAACAGCATGTACCGGACGAACATGCTGTACAACCGGCTGTACCGGACGAACTAGCCGTACAGTAGGACGAGGGTGGATAGGACCCGTAGGCTGTGCGTGGTCCTGATCATCTAAAGAGTCGTCCGAGTCATAGTCCTCTGGACCCGGCTCCCTCTCGCCGTACGACTCATCATCAGCATACCCCTGCTGACCATAAGGTAATGGTACGCGTGCGCGGGGGGGGTAACGACTTCCCTGCGAACCGGGGAAAAGAACATCCCGGCTGATCGTACGGTACTGGTGCCGGGGACATCGTCCTGCCCGCCTGGCCAGGATAATAAAATCCATGTTCGCCGTATGGGATGGCTCCGTGGGGTCGCGAACTACCTGGCTGGCCCTCAAAATGATATGGACCAGTGGGCACTGGTGCGGGGGGGGAGGGGGGCGGGAACTCTGGCTCGCCTGACGAAGCTGTACCCTACGAGCCTCATCGATCAACGCCTGCCTTTCCGCGTCCCTCTCCCGACGAACGGACGCATTGACACCCCGACTTCTAGTGTGTCGGGTGCCAGAACCATCATAATAATCATCGTACGCCTCGTCGTCGTCCCTGGCATTAGATTGTCCAGGTCTGCCAACACCCTGAATCAGAAATATAATTATTAGATTTTT